CTGGTTTGTTTCCAAGATCTTGAGTTTCTACAAACAGTACAAAGTTTAAAGAGAAACGTCTTTTCCAAAAATAAAATAGACAAGAAAGTCATGTGGGAAATAAACTCTATTTGAAATGACTATATTACACATTACTACAGAATATATATATTTTTAAAAAAATCACAATAGGGAACAACTAGATTTTTAACAAAAAGCTATTTTCACGGGGAAAAAACAAAGACATCATAAACTGTTAGCAAAACAAATGGTTTGGTTGTATTTTCAAGCTGTCATCTCACAGTTTGTTCATATATTTCTTTAAATATGAACCTGTGTAATTTTGATAGGCGACCATATTTGGCTACAGCAACGTTACCAGTCCCATTGATGTTGAGAGTCTTGCACTGGCTATGTTAAAAATGGAATGGCCTGTCCTGTGGAAATGTCCTTTGGGAGTTGGACCAAGTTCACAAACCTTGTACAGATAGATGACAATTTATAGCACGCTGTGCCAGGTGACGTCTCTGGACTCCATAGAGAATCATCCAAAGAAAGACAGGCACCAGCATTCCCTTACAGTTTACTTGGGAAGGAAGGTTGTGTATAGACAAAATGAGAGGTGTGTGTGCACAACACTTTAAAGTGGACTAAATGCTTTTGCTTTTAATTGTGTCGGTGTTTGAACACCTTGGAGGCATATTGCGCATTAATTCCAGCCACTGTAGGAAATTCAGTGCTGTAATGAGCCATAAATGACTTGGGGCACAGCAAACTAAAACTCCTTGCTTCACTTCCTACAGACGTGGAGTGAAGCACCGGGCTCCATGCAGCTCCACAGCTCTGCAGGAAGCCCTGCAGGCAGCCTGACAGCAGCCCGGGAAAGAAAAGTGGTGAGCCTGATCTCCCCACCCCCTCTGAGCCTGCCTGAGCTGCGCGGGGACCTGGTGCTTTCCTCCATGGCTGCAGTGCCCCCAGGGACCGCCTGAGTTGGGTGCCACCTCTGGGGGGGCACTGCTGGCATGGAGGGAAGCACTAGTCCCTGTCCCCTCCTCCTCCCCCCCTCACCCACCCCCATAGCTCCCAGGGACTGCTCTGACCACCAGCAGCTAGTCCTCCCCTTCCTGCCAGAGAGGCAGGTAAGTCAGCGGGGTGCACAACACAGGGGTTTAATCAGCCCTAAATTGAAGTAGTGCTTTTTAAAACCCACCACTTCAATTTAGGGCCCCCATTTTGCCTACATATGCCCAAAAGCAATAGCTTCTGACAGGTTTTCACAAGGGCATTCCCAGTGAAAGCAATGCACTAAAATAGTGCCTCCATTTGATATCCATGCAGTCCTTTTTCTTGAGCCAGCACCATCTACCCGTTGGGATATGTTAGCAATTTACACAAAGGAGGCTGCTGGGGAACACATGCGGAGTGGGGAATCAGACAGAAAGGGGAAGCTTGCCTGTCCCTGTTGATGCTGTCCTCTGCTAAGCCCAGCCCCCTTGCACAGCCCAGGTGAAGCGGGACAGGGGTGACTCTAGAGCTCCCCCTGACCCTGCATCAGCCAGGAGCAGTAGCAGAAGTGGGAAGGGGAGAAGGAATGTGCCTCTGACCACAAAAAGGAAGTGAGGGAGTGCCAAGAAGATCGGAGGGAGGAGGGGTTACCAGATTCAGGGTCCTAAAAAGATCCCCAGTTGTTGCTTCCATGTTCTAGTCCTGAAAGTAGGTGTGTGAGGGGGATGCGACTGTATGATGATATACTGAGCTAATTGGATAATGATGTCTATTCTACATGGCCTGTTAGGGGCGCTGTGAAAATAATTCACAAAATCTCCTAAAGGGATAGATTTGATCTCAGGAGAATGACTATTTCCAACAACTCCCCGATGATTAGATTCTATACATGGAAAGTTTATATTTGTTATAAGTTTCCATGTATAGAATCTAATTATTGGAGGGTCATCTTTGATCCCACCCTCCCACTGCAGAGGGCAGAAGTATAGGAAGGTCAAGCACCTTGCCCCTGCTAGTGCCTGTCCCCTGACAACTACCTGACTTCTCCCTCACCCTTCTGCCTCTGCTCTCCCTCCTGCCCCTCCCTCCATCATCTGTCCTCCCACCACCCAGCATCTCTGCTCCCTCTCCTCCCCGCCTCTCTGCTCAACCTTCCCCCTCCCCACACAGCCTCTGCACCCCACTCCCCCCACTTACCCTTGCTTTGCGGTGGAAGGCTCTATCCCCATGCTACTACCACAGTCTGCAGTATATGCACAGAGCCTGCTGGCATGGAGCATGGGTAGGGGGGGGAAGAGAGGGGCAGGCAAGGGAAGAGGCTCTGTGGGAGGGGGAGATGGGGAGAAGAGGCTAGAGGAGGGAGATAGAAGGGTGCAGAAGGTGGGGAGGAAGGGAGGGCAGGCAGGAACTGCCACTACTGCCCTGACCCCAGGTACAGGCTAAAGCCTAAGCCACAGCAGCCACCTGCCCTGCCACTGTCCTTGTACGTGATTCCAAAATGAGGGGCTTTTCCCCCCATGTTAAATGGGGGGGAACCTCATTTTAGTAATGAATAAATATGGTAATCAACAACAGTAAAAGTTTGGAGAATAAGTGAATTTCTAGTAAAACTGCAAATCATCAGCATTTTTTTAAAGCCAAATTTCCTGAAAAGTCTCTCATTTAAAATAAGACATAGCATATGTTATATAAGGAAGAACAGCTTGTTTATAAGACAGTTGTAGTTAGAGGTTGAAAACCACTTATATAACAGAAGCTAGCATCAGTTATAAATATTGAGCAACTGCTTCCATTCTTCCTAGGAAGCATTTAAACATCTATGAGAAATATATATATATTTTTTAATTTAAAATCCCTTGTTAATTATTTCTTGTTTCCATTGATGACCAGATAAAGGCAAAGTTGGAAATTACACATTCTGGGCCAGATCCTCAGCTGATGTAAATTGTTTTATATTGTTTGATTTGAATATATCAATGGTTATAACTTCCTGCAAGGTTATAAATGGTTATAAACTCCTGCAAGACTGTTTCAGGCTGGACATATGGAAGAACTTCTTTACTGTCTGAGCCCCCAAGGTCTGGAATAGCCTGCCACCGGAGGTGGTTCAAGCACCTACTTTGAACACCTTCAAGAGAAACCTGGATGTTTTTCTTGCTGGGATCCTATGACCCAGCTGACTTCCTGCCCCTGGGGCAGGGGGCTGGACTCGATGATCCTCCCAGGTCCCTTCCAGCCCTAACGTCTATGAAGTCTACGAATGTAAACTCTACCAGCTTACATTACCTAAGGATCCCTGCTTCTATTTAGATACAGAATGGCTCCATAAGGATAAACAGGAGAGAGATCTACTGGAAGGAAATAAACGTAGTGTCTTCCTTTTTTGATACTGCTGAGGTGAAAGGCTCCTGAGAAGTGTCATAAGTGCTAGTCTCAGAACAAGGTAGCTTCTAAAGAATTGGAGGGTTGTAAGAGACTCCCAGAGGCCCTTTAGTCCAACCCCCTGCACAGATGTAAGATTGATCATCATATATATATATGAAATATTCTTTACTTTATAAAGAATGTATTCATGTCAGTGAAAACTTTGCTTATACAAGTACTAAATTAAATGCGCAGTAACCACTGTGCATTAATGAATGTGTAGATGTGGCCACTGAAAACATGTACTAGAGTCTGTGATCTATATTGAAACCTGTTGCCTATGGGTGTAAAATATCTTTTTTTCCTCAGACCTTGACATTTGGGTAAAAAAAAATGGAGCTGGAAACTCTTTCCAGTTCCATTTAATCAAAATGAGTCATGGCTCCCCTATTCTTGGCCAAAAATATACCAAACTCAGGCCTTGAAGAAGCGCTCCTCACACTAACCTAACAGCTCCTGGAAAGACAAAGCCGACAGCCTTCTGCCATCCCAATACCCATTGGATCTTCACTTGTTATAAACTCTAAGTTTAGTATATTTGATAGCCTTGGGGCCTTCTGACTCTTAGTCCTGCCATGTTTGCTCTAGTCCTTCAACTTTTAAACTACAAATGGGAAGAACAAAGGCACGGGACATACATTTGGCAAAAACCAAAGAGAATATAAGCAGAGGTGTATTGGGTCAGACTACAGGTCCATTTATTTCAGTATCCTGTCATCCACCAGAATAGAGTATGGATACTAAAGGGAAAGAGTATTTATGTGGAGTCAATCCAGACCAATCTGCTCCCTGCTCTTCTTCCCTTACAGCATTCAAGGACATAAGATGCCCTAATTTGAAGTCTGCATCCCTAACTGTAATGTTTATGTCCACTGATTGACTGGATAAGACTGGAGAAATGGTCTGCAAACAATCAGATGAGATTCAACAAGGTCAACTGCAAAGTCCTGTACTTGGGACAGATTAAATGCAGTCACAAATACAGACTAGAGAATGACTGGATGGGCTGCAACACTGCAGAAAAGGACCTGGGGGTTACAGTGGATGATAAGCTGAATATGAGCGAACAACATGCTCTTTGTTCCAAAAAAAGCCAACAGCATCTGGGGTTGTATTAACAAGAGTTTCACTTGCAAATTGAGGAAAGTGATCCACTCAATTCAGCAACAGCCTCAGCTTCACCGGTTTTGGGCCCAACTTTTCAAAAGGATGTGGATAGATTGGAATGAATCCAGGCAGAGCAACAAAAATGATTAGGGGCCTCAGAAGCAATTAAAGAACTAGGATTATTTAGTTTGGAGAAGAGAAGACTGAAAGGGTATTTGATAACAGTCTTCAAAGGAAATGGGTTTTTCCCCTAGGTGACAGGGGACAAGACTAGGAGTAATGGCTTCAAGGTGCAGCAGGAGAAATTTAGGTTGGAGATTAGAAGGAACTTTTTGACTGTGAGGGTGGTCAAGCACTGGTACAAGCTACCTAGAGAAGTTGTGGAATCTCCATCCTTGGAAGATTTCAAGAGCAAGCCGGAGAGACACTTGGCTAAGATGGTTTAGTCAGGATGGTCCTGCTTTAAGTAGGGGACTAGACTAGATGACCTTTGAAGTCTTCTCCAGCTCTACTTTCCTATGATCCTATTATTCCTAATCTTGTATGAATTTGTCTGATCCTCTTTTGGGCGTAGGTGAATGAATCAACCTCTGCAACACCTTGTGGCAAAAAGAGTTCCACAAGGTAATTACATCCTAGGTAAAAAAGAGCTTACAAATCCCCCAGCTGTCACCAACATCCAACAAGTAGAAAGCATAGGGGACAAACACCCAATCTGAATGGACACCTCTGCCCTTCTGCCATTTTACAGTGAGATTTTAATGAACTCCCAAGAGCTTGAAACCCATGCATACTTTTGCTGACCATGAAACATGAGAGGTGGGTAGGCTGATTTAACTGGACTACATTTAAGGCAGAAGGCGTATGTGTATCAACACACACATCTCCCTAGAAAATCAGCCATTTGTATATTTCAAATCTGTAAAACAACATCATTAGACAGTAGTATAACTGGGGTGGGAGGGAATGGGTTCAAACATAGCTGCTGCTGCTAAAGCAACAGCTGGCTATCCTGCCACCATTTGGTGCAACAGGAGCCACACTACTTCATGTACTGAGGCTGCCCAGGGCACAGAGCTTCCCTGTTACACCTCTGCAAGTAGGATTTACCACCAAGGTATGAAGGTGCCATTTCTATGGTATCATCTAATGTGCTACAGAAAAATGTCTTGATGGGCATCAACATATAGGAGTATGAAGGGAAGTATTGTTATATCAACAGCTAGTGGTTTGGGACCTTTAGTAAACAGTAAGTGATGTCTTTGTTTTCATCATGGCTTGTTCAGGGTAAAACAACCATGCATTCCTCCTGTTTAAAATCAGCCTGTAGACAGTCATAGAGTTACCGATATAAAATAAATGTTTCAAGTGGTTTAGGAAGTAGAAGTCTTTGCACTGCATAAAGACACGATCGGCCCAGACATTTTCTGATACACAGCCGACACAGCTGGGCAAGGCTGGCAGGACCTGGAAAAGAGGAGAGAAAAAATAAACAAAAATAATTGGCGATACAAATTGAAACCAAGAAGCTGAATACAGGCAGGCCCTATAAATCAAAACATGCACCATCTCTTGCACACCTCTTGCATAACTCCATAATAGTTGAACAGACTTTGTACTTGTAGTTCTACATTTTGGAAGCTGTAAGTGCTAAAAAGATGTTTATATTTGCACAATGTTTTCCTGTCTCTTTCCTTGAGAAAAACCTTAGAATCAGGAAGGCATATGCACATATAAGATCTGCAACTTATTTTATCACATGCCTGGGTCCATCCAATAATAAAATTCCTAGTAGATAAAAACAATAAAAAAGTAGTAGATACTCAGATACTATGGTATGTGGGAGACTCACTAGTAGGGTCAGTTTTTGCATGTACAATACATGCAACTGTACATTCAAACAGAAATGTGTGTGCTAAAATACCAACATCAACACATAATACTATTTTTGTGCACACTCATATGTATCTCCTTGGTGACTGTGTCATAAAAGTCTCCCTCAGTTCATCAAGCCCCAGATATAGAGCAATGGTTCTTTATTTTAATTGTGACAGCTCATGCTCTTGGTTACGGAAGACTATGGTTCAACAACTAAGAGTTAGTTGAGATGATAGCTGTTACAAATATTTTAAAAGAACTCTTTAGACAGCTAAGTGTAAAAGTCTGATCCCAAATCTTCACAGCTGCGTCAGGGAAGTTTCACTAAAGATAAATTTAAGGGCCAAAATAGGCTGGAAAAGTCCCATTAAAATACATGAATTGGAAACAAACAGGGAAAATAGCCTATAGAGATAGAACTTGAGTTGAAGAGGGACATCATTCCTTCAAGCAAATAGAAAAGTAAGGGAAAATAAGCTAAATTTCCTATTTCAAATTATCATTGCACAAACAGCTATAAAGGAAAATGCATTAAAAGAAAATATACAAATAAATAAGCCAGAAAAAAACTAAGTAGAAAGAAAAACCTTTAGAGGAAGTTTTTGTGGTCCTTGTATTTATATGGTCTGTAATCCTCTTTTTTTTGTAGACTCACTAGGAAAAAATTCAGGTGGAGAAATAGATATAATGAAGCATTTGAAAGCAAGAGAGATGGAACATTTGAATTGTCGACAGGTCATGTGGAATTTATTCATCTCTGAAAAGTGAAGAGTCAACAAGAATAAATTAAATTGTCATATGATCCATCTGACTATAAAATGAACAGGCTGAACCAATGGAAATGGAAATCACAAGAATTTTTGGGGAAAAACTAATAGCAAAGAAAGATTTCTGTACACTGACCTAAACTGTGATACCGTTAATGGGAAAAAATAAATCAAGAACTAGATTTGTGCCTATAAGACTTGTTTGTACAACCCCTTAAAGTGTAGTAGTGACCATTCTTGATGTAAGTGCTAACAAACTCAGTTATTGCAACAACAGATATAAAAGGTGGGGGACGGAACCGTTTATGTAAAATTATCATAAAGCAGGCATCATCACTTCACAGGGGGTGAGGGGTTTGAGATTGAAAAGCACTAAATGGAATATTAAAGACAAAATGACACTGCATGTGTAACATGTACCCATGTACAGACAGCTGAAAAAAAATCTATTCATTAGTCCAGTGAGTCTCAACCAAGGTAACTGTGAGATCCTTTGAAGGGTGCTGTATTAATGCACACAACGTTAACGTTGCTCAGTGTGCAAATATTTACACATGATATGGTCTCCCACAACATTCTCACAGGCAAGCTATGGAAGTATGGGTTGGATATCACTGTAAGGTGGATAGAAAACTAGCTGGAGCATCAGGATCAGAGGATACTAATCAATGGCTCAAAGTCTGGTTGGCAGCCCGTATCAAGTAGAGTGCCCCAGCGGTCAGTTCTAGGGTTGTTTTTTTTCCCCCAATATCTTCATTAGTGACCTGGAAGATGGCATAGTCTGCAGATGACACCAAGCTGGTGGAGTAGCAGATATGTTGGAGGGTAGGGCTAAGATTCAGAGTGATATATTAGAGGCTTGGTCCAAAAGAAATCTTATGAGATTCAACAAGGACAGGTGGAAAGTCCTGCACTTAAGATGGAATAATCTCATGCACTGATACAGACTTGGGACTGACTGGCTAAGCAAGAGTTCTGCAGAAATGAGTCTGGGGGTTACAGTGGACAAAAGTGGAATATGAGCCAACAGTGTGCCCTTGTTGTAAAGACGGCTAGCAGCATACTGGGCTATGCTGGTAGGAGTGTTGCCAGCAGGTCAAGTGAAGTGACTGTTTTCCTCTATTCAGCACTGGTGAGGCCACATCTGCAGTAGGCCTTTTCAAAGTGGCTAGTATTCACTTCAGATTGGGCCAATTCGGGGGATAGTGATTTGATTCAGTGATTCGAATCACTGTTCCAAATTGATTTGGACAAATCTGGTTCGAAGATTCAACTGCTGCTGAATCAGCCAAATCTCTGAATTGCACAGGCCCCATCCCCACCTGCTCTCAATGGCTACCCCATGTGCCCCAGCTCCTGGCTCTTTGAAAAAAAAAAATAAAGCTCCCACTTATCAGCTGCTGCTAGGTGGGGGGGCAATCCTCACTGCCCCCCGCTACATGGGAGGGTTCTGCCACAAGCCCCCTGATCCCGCCCCCCTCTCCCAGCCCCCCCATGGCTGCCCCATTCCCCATCTCCCAGCCCTTAAAAAAAAAGAATAGTAGCCCTGACTCAACAGCTCCTTCCCGGTGGGGTGCGGTCTCCACTGCTCCCCACTACCCCACGCTGCATTGGGGGCTCTACCACTAGCCCCCAGAAGCCCCGAGGCTGCTGCAGGAGCCAGTGAGTGTGGGTGTTTTTGTTTTATATTTTTAAAGGGCTGGAAGCTGGGCTGGGTGCGGCAGCCATTGTTGGGGGGGGCGGGGAACTGGTAGAGCTAGCGGGCTTGGGGGGCATTCAGGGAAGCTGTGGGAGTAGGCAGGGAATGGGGCCTGGAAGGGGACCCCCATGGTCCCCTCCCCCTGTCCCACCCCCTACTTATCAGCATGGGGTCCGGGTCCAGCTCCCTACTGCAACCAGTGGGGACTGCCTAAATCACCAAAGCTCTTTGAATCTTTTCTGAATCAATTCAGAGAGCTTCAAATCAATTCAGACCTGAATTCTCAAAAGCCCCCATGGCTTACCAAAAGCATCCGAGAATGTCTCCTAGCAAAAAGGGAGGCGTACACCCAATGGAAGGGAGGGGCCATCACCAGGGAGGACTATACTTGCTCAGGGATGCCGGGGGCAGTCAGGAAGACCAAGGCGGAGATGGAACTGGGACTAGCTTCCCAGATCAAGAACAACAAGAAGTCCTTTTTTAAATACATAGGGGGCAAAAAGAAGGTACCGGGTAATGTGGGGCCCCTGCAAGACACGCTAGGAAATTTGGTCGTCACACCAGATGACAAAGCTAACCTATTTAATGACTTCTTTGCCTCCATTTTCCTGAGCAGGGACTGGATCAGCCCCCGCACTGGGCCCCCCTCAGGCCCCAGGGGAGGCACACCTAGGCCAAGGGTCAGTGAGGATCTAGTCAGGGAACTTCTGGAGGGACTG